GACTTTATTCATGAATTCTCTGAACTTATGGCATGGATTACTTTAGAGTATGATCATATTTTAATTATAGGTAATTTTACATGTATGCTGCCCAGATAAACCTCTGGTGAAGGACTTTTTGGACTTGATTGATTCATTGCATTTCACGCAATCTGTGGTTGGGCCAACGCACTTAAAGGGACATACTCTAGATTTTCTGCATTCTGGACTTTATACTGATGGATATGTCCATTCATCTCAGGGTTAAATGTGTCACTTTTCTCCTCTGTAGATGTATGGGCGTTATACCCAGGAACTCGGGGAGTATGCCAAAGAGGAGGCGGCCCAGCAGAGGGAGAGTGGGCAGAAGCGGTTGGTCAGTGAGCGCAGCCGGATCCTGGACCTGCCGGAGAGTGACAAGGGTCGCTGTGCCAAGTGCCGCAGTAAGTGCAAGCAAGCAACTCCCATTGGTCAGAATGTGGTCCATGTGAAGCTGCAGAAGTAATCTTTAAATTTAAAGTAAGCGTCGTAGCTTTTATCTACAGACATATTTTTTCCCTTTTGGTTTAAATAGTTTGTATTGATTCTTATCAGGGTCTTCACATCTGCACCTGTAGGACGTAGCTGCTCTGACTATCATGTTCAGAGTGTTCGATAATCAGGTCTGCTATGCAGCAGTGAGTGGCCTTCATAACTGAAAAAGGTCATTTAACATCATACTTAAGAGGAACTGTCAGTCCAGTGATTGGACCACTCTTAATAAGATTCAGGCCTCTGACTGCAGTAATGTCATTAAGGGTTTGTCATGAAGGCCTTTAAATTTCAACCTGGCGCCTCTTTTAATTAGTTATTGTCTTCCAGTGTCAATATCAGAATATATTAATTATTTTTTTAAACCATTTATTGAAAAAAATCTGAGTCAAAAGTGTGTGTAAACACAGATTAGAGCATAGATCTGACACCGTGTATGCCTAATCAACCATTATGATGCATCTCTCATCACTGCCTGATTGTTTTATTTACTTTGGTGACAGAAATACAATGCTGGAAGTTCCTTTTTTGGGTTTGAAGTGGACGTGGTTCTCAATGTTCATTGCTAAGGAAGCTCAGGTTGTCCTGGACAACAGATCAGAAAGCTAGAAATTAAGGAGCATCAGACAATCACCATAACAAGAATTTCTTCTTCATAGTCTTTCAGCATCAAGTAAACGTTAAGAGCCCTGCAGTGATCGTCCTTTACCTTTCTCTGATTTGTTGTAAATGTAATGTTTCTCTCCTGTTATGAAATAATTTATTGAACCCCCAAAAAATAAACTCTTCAGCATCATCAAGACATTTACACTACAGCTAATATAAAAACTTGACACTTTTAAAAACAGGATATAACTGCACCAAAGTGTTATACAAAGACAATAACACAATAGAATAAACTGACGAAAGAGAAAATAAAAATAAAACATCACAACAGAAAAGTTAGCATATCAGGTCTCAATTAAATGCTAATGGATAAAAATAAATTTTAAGAAGCATTTTAAAATGACCCAGACTGTACTGAGCTCTGCTCTGGAATAGGAGCAACAACAGAGAAAGCCTGATCACATTTGTGTCAGTT